GGTTCGCATTTGTCCCGTAACGCTGGGCTTGATCCCTCCCCCCCCCTTGTAACGACCGTAACGCTGGCTCAAATCCCCCCTCCCCCAACTGCGTGACATAATATTTGAATGGCCCCTGTTAATGGATTAAGAAAATTGATTGTTACATTTTTATTTCAGGTGACAATAACAGCAGAGGAGGAGAGTTCCTACCTCAGTTGGTCTCGTTTAAAATTAGATCGAGTCTTGAGGCATCGGCCGCAGCTCAGAGTAGTCTTTTCGCATATTATAGGTCAGTATTGAATCTTTTATTACGATCAAATATTTAGGCAGGTGCAGTGTTCACATTCGATAGTAATGCAGCTCTTCAGTTTAACATTGTATTTCGATCCCTTAAAATTAATATAATGTTCAAAAATAGCGGGTTGTCATCAAAGTAAGACGCACGAAATTATAAAACTTTCCAAAGTCCTAACCGGCAACATTGAACCGAAAGCCGCAGGAAAGTCATTAATTTATTCATTACCTCCGTAATATCAAGTGGTGCTGCTTTCATTTTAAAAAAAAATTAGAAACAAAAAATTTGAATATCAGATCGATAAGGACCGAAGAATCTGGTTCGCGTTGTTTTTCAGTCTGAAAAACGTTGTGAGGCCCTCTTTAAATTTTTCAGCGTCCCGTTACCTTCCGGCCAAAGTATCACAAGTTTCATGCGATGTTTACAAATTTCCGCCGCCATTTTATTTTTTCATAGAGAAATTATTGGTTGAACCTGTTTGAAAATTTCACTGAATTTTATCGGCACCACAAGGAAAATTCAGTGAAATTTTCGGACAGCTTCGTTGAACAATTTCTCTGTAAAAAAATAAAATGGCGGCGGAAATGTTTGAACGTCGCATGGCGCTTGTGTTACTTTGGCCGGAAAGTGACGATCTGTAAACAGTCGAAAACTCTATTGAATACCGAGGAACTTTTTTACGCTTATATCCATTAAAAGAACGGATTGAAAAACAGAGGGTTTATAAATAAAATATAATATTTTAAGACTGGGGTCCGCGTTAAGATTGCTTTGAAGTAACCTGCATAAGGCTACCTTCATAGGACCTCCTGTCATTGCCACACAAAATCCACCCGCCAGCAACCCACATTTATCTAAAAGCCTTTGTGAATGGGCCTGAAGCACCGTCTGAATTCAAAGCGCTACTTTATCTTTGAAGTAAAGAATGGCACTAACATTTAACAGTGAGAGGTTTAAAGGCAATCCCTTGAGAGAAAAGAGAATATTTTACGTAATGTAGTGCAATAATTTCATCAGGTGAATAGAAAAGGGGAATCGCTCACCCCCTGTTATTCCTATTGTTTATACGTAAGCAATAAAATAAGACTTGATTTTTAAGCTCTATCATTATTTGACCTAGACCCCTGAGCGCTCGAGTATAGCGTATCGCAACTAGGGGATGGGGGTTTACGTCCTATGGTAAAATGCACTATGTGATAAATTGCTTTCTCTTTTAAAAATCAGAAGAATTCAATCTCCTCAGATGAGGGCATACTCTCATTTTTTCGGAATTCCAATGAAAAAGGGGAGTTCCTATCCACGTGGAGAAAGAGACCACCAGATATTGTCCACGAGACTGTCTACTAAAATATGTGTCTAAAAAAGTCTTGTAGCCAGTTCTAGATCCTAAAATTTATTCACTAACTTTATCGTAAATCCACTTAATTTACAGAATTCAATAGGGAGAATGTATTCCTTTCCGGTCTAGTATTCGATACAATTTTTTTTTCTCATCACTTCACTTTGATCACTTAAATTGCCTCTAATTTAGGTTATAGGACATTTCGTTAACGATTTTTTGTCCGCGCACCATTTTTTCCCAGTAATTTACGTCCACGCGTTTTTTCGGCACGGGAGTTTTGGTCCATGTGCCAGTTGAGACCCAAAGTTAATTGGCCCACATGTGTAAATATAAACGACAATTGTTCACGACGTTTTTGGATGAAAATGTAAAATGTCTTGGAAGAATGAGAGGGTTTGCTTGTTTTTTTGTTTTGTCTGTTTGGCCCAATGGAGAATAATATATAGTTGAGAGTTTTGGTAAAAATGGGGGAGCGTCAATTCCATGAGACAAAATTCACTAAGACTCTCTACACCTCTTTGGCGTAACAGGACTTAATTATCTTTCAAGATTTTCCCACCTTGTTGTACCTGAACCGGATAAACCTCTATATTTGCTTAATCTAAAGGCTCTTAGATTTTTCCAGTGTAAGAGTGTTAAGTATCTTGATTTATTTTGCAAGGAAAGATCTGTGCTTTTAAAGGAAGCTTGTCATTCTTAATACTTTCAATTTCGTATAATACTGTGTAACACCTCTGTTGTGAAATAGTTGCTTCAGGCGCCGCCGCGCCGCGAGACGCGCTTTGGCGCCTACAAACCTAAGTGGATACGTAAAGCATTGCGCAATGCGTGAAGTATCCACTTAGGTTTGTAGGCGCCAGTGAGCCTCTCGCGCTGGCAGCACTCTGCGCCGCTACGCTGTGCTCTGTTAGGCTTTAATATTTATACTCGCATAGTCAGCGTTTTTTAACTCATGATTTTGAAATGTTTGCACACTCTGCATTGATTATTCTCATTTAAAATCGATGGGAAAAAATATGTATCAATTTATAAAAAGAAAAAAATAATATAATGTGTGCTTTTTAAATATTGGTGGTTCCGTGTCAAATTTAATGATTTTCAAAGCACTTTAATTTTTTCTTTTACACTTTGTGCTTTTATTGTGCTGCAGCGAGGTGTACGCGCAACCAAACGCTCAAAATTTGACGTATTTGACTCTAAAAAATCGATGTACAAATGGGTTAAAACTAAAGATTGCGTGCTCCTTGGTTTTTCCCTCTTTTATTCATTTTTGCAGTTTCTGTTGGCACAACTGCGGCTCATTGAGATTAATGTCGCTTGGAAAAGGTTTTAAAAGTATTTGCCACGTTTTAAAAATATAAATGTTTTCAAAATGAAGTAATAATTTCCTAAAGAAAGAAAAAAATAAAATAAAAAAAGTACCCATACATATATAAGGTATATTGTCCATCGAATATTTTAAGGATAGAAATAAAACCAAAAATTCACCAATGACAATTTAAAAAGATGATTCAAAAGGAGAAAGTAATAACATTTCATTTAGAAAATGAGCAACCAAAACAACACCGCCTTCTCTCTCAATTTCTCATTTCCATATTGTCAAATACAATTTTACATACCGACTAAAATATAACGCTTGGACTTAGTCACCGTTGCTTATTTTACGCGTGGGCGTTAACTACTGGACAAAAAAGATGCGCGAACAAAAAATCGTTGACAAAATGTCCTGAAACTCTAATTTAGAGTTTCATTTGACTCAATTTGCGAGTTAAGTATATTCTGTATATTCCCCCAGAATATTCTCCCAAAATATTCTGATATTACAAAGAAAATATGAAATAAGGAAGTATGACAGGAAGCCTGCCAGCACGGAGAAAGGAAATGCGTGGTTTTGCACTCAACCATCGACATACCGGATTTCCTCTCCTCTTTCATTCAATTACGTCTTAATTTCGGGCGAATAACTGATTCGTGTTGGTACTTATGTTGTAGGGAAAGACATCACGCAGAAGTTGTACTGTTTGAACGAGCAGGTTGGGCAGCGATTCGCGAACGACGCCCAAAGTCGGGCTGTGAAGGAGGACCTGTGGCGGAACCTAAACAGGAGTGTTAGTGTGGATGCTGTCAACACCGGCACACACGGACATGTCAGGTCCACCGCCTGGCACAAGGCTCATCAAGCTGAGAAGAGGAAAAGCAGCATCCTCTCAGATTGTAAGTAAAGTATAGTCTTGTAAGTAAGTAAGTATAGTCTTGAACTTTATGAAGAACTAGGGGGTACGCCTCCTGACCGCTTCGCGGTTCAGCCCCCTGAAGCGCTTTGTCCTCAGGCGTAATGCATTACGGGTGACTTTTGTGATTTTATATTATAGCCTCGAGTGTGATAGTAAAAGGGAGGCAAACAATTTAATAAACAGATGAGCAAACAATAAAAAAAAGCAAGAGCTGACATTCCGCTTGATTAATTGGAATACACTTTGCGATTAGGAACTACAATTTCTGGCCCATCCGTAAAATCACATATGTCTATGAGGAAATTAATGGTAAATACGTTGCTTTTAAATTGAGCCAGAAATTGTAGTTCCTCTAATTGCCAAATTCATTCAATTCATTCTTCGTGGGAGTCTGATGGCAATAAGTGGCAACATGGGCTAAACCTTCTCTGGAGGGCCACCAGCTTTCTGGAGAGGGGAGGCCCCCAGTTCCCTTTAAATGAAGCTCAATGCGTTTAATGCCGACCAGCGACCGCTTTGTGTTTGGCGCAATGCGTGAAGTATTCCCGTACTCTTGTAGGCGCCAATGCGTTCCACGCCGACCAGCAACCGCACTGTGTTAGGCGCAATGCGTGAAGTATTCCTGTACTCTTGTAGGCGCTAATGCGTTCCGTGCATGCCGACCAGCGACCGCGCCGTGTTAGGTGCAATGCGTGAAGTATTTCTGCACTCTTGTAGGCACTAATCTTGCATGTGTGGGGGATTTTCGATTTAAGTAACAATTGCTATGTAAAATTTCACAGAAAACCCGATGGTGGCACCATTGGTTTTCTCTGATAGGAACCCTAAATCTAAAAAAAAAAACTTCTCAAAGTTGAGGCTGTAATAGAGGAAACTAGGGGGCTACGCCCCCTGGCCGCTACGCGGCCCAACCCCCTGAAGGCGCTCCGCGCCATCAATGGGCCGCTTCGCGGCCCTATTTTTACCCTCCTGGCAGTGTTAGTTTTATTTTTCCCCTAAAAAATTACGATATGAGGTATACTTTAATTTTACACTTTACTTAAAATTACTTTAAAATTAAAAGGACGCGTTTCGGAATGACTGCTTGATGAAATATTGCAGTTAAACAATGAACAAAGGTTGTCAAGTAATGATATAGATTTCATGAATCGAGGATCGAACCCTCACCCAGATCAAAGTGGACACATTTGACGTCTTAGACGACTCCGCCAACTCTCGGCATGAAGTCACTGGTGCGAATCTTGTGTAGATAAGTGTAGAGCTGATGCGCAGGCTACACAGCTACTGCGCAACCTCCTCGACCACTGCGCACCCTCCCGCGCATAGCGGTAGCAGTACCGGAGCATTCTGTAAACTCACTCACTTTTATAACGTGATTTTAAAAAAACCTGGGCCCTATTTCCAAAATCTGAAGAGAGCGGGCTCATCTAGGGCCTATAACCTGTCGATTTACGCAAAAATCATGGAAATCGGCCCGGTAGAACGCTCAAACGAACTATGACAAAAAGTATAAATTTACATTGTTTAAATGGGAGAATTCGCAACTTTACCACGTAATATAAAAAAACCTGGGTCATATTTTGAAAATCTGAAAAGAGTTGGCTTATCTGCAGACAATTGCCCGTCGATAGCCGCAAAAATAATGAAAATCGGCTCGGTAGAACGCTGGAACTAAGCGTTACCAGTTACGCAAAATTAGGAGGTCTCGGAGCTTATAGTATAGATATTTCACGTAACCCCACGAGTCAACCTCTAAATCAAGTCAAAATCTCCATGCAAAGATAGAGAGCAAATACATTAACAGGGTTGCCACTTTGTATCGGGGACTCCAAAGTCGGAACCACTGCAATCCTGCTAATGTAATTGCTCCCTATCTTTTGGGATACCCTCTCCATTACGGACTCAACTTAAGGGGCTTTTTCTGAGTTTTGCAAGTCCTTTCAGAGGGAACCAGTAGCACCATCTTACTTGCGAAATTTCACATTGGAATAAGTACTTAAATAGAAAATTCCTGACATAAATTAAAAAAAAAGTCACGAGCTATAAGAACATAATGTCTGTACCGGACCCAGAATCCGAAAGTTCGGGGTGCTGGAGCCGTAGCTTCGACTGCTTCAGGTGCTGCACCCGAAACTTTTTTATCGGCGCGCGGCGTAACACACGGAGCAGTCGAAACTACGGCTCCAGCACCCGGAACTTTCGGCCTCTGAGCCTGGAACGCAGACGGTATGTCTATATAGCCCGTAAATACGGCTTCCACGGCTGGAGTTTCTTTTCAGTGCACGCAAGAGCTTCATTGCCCCCGCAGCGTATCTTGATCGAATATGCTCATCAGTGTTCGAAACTCACAGGCGCCAACGCGCCAAATGCGCCTAAAAACTCGGCCATGGCGCCTGAAAAATGATGGCTCTGCGCCAACGTGGCCCCTAAAAATTACCCCCTAAAAATCTGAATTTTCATTTTAGGTGATTATTCGAAATTTTCAGCACTACAAGTGAAACCTTTTTCTATTCTTCACGATTTCATCCTCAGTGCTTTTGTCTTCCCCAAGTTACAGCTACTTACTAGCTCTGTTACGAAAACATCTTGCGTCTAACTTTTCACTAAATGCGCCGTAATATAGAGGCAAAAAGTCAATTTGGCCCCTAAAAAATCTTCAATGGCGCCTAAAAACCAGGGTTGATGCGCCACATGGCTCCTAAAACTCAAAGGTGAGTTTCGAACACTGATCCTCACGATAATGATCTCCATGTCCAGTTCAACTGACGATCCCCACTTCTTGTTCACAGACATGGTGACGGAGTCCCCGGACATGGGTCAACAACGGAAATGCTGGATCCCAGTGGTGGCATCCCAATTCCCTGCCACGTCGCCGTTCACCCACCTCCAGGCGCAGGAGTCGGAACCACTCCTCAGTCAGGAGGAATCCGAGCGGCAGCCGCTGATCTCGCCGCTCCTCAGGGACGCCGCCCCCACCTCGAGCGCCTTGAAAGGTGTCAGCGCCTTCGGGGGGCAGGTCCCTCTGACGGCCACGGCGCTGGCGCCCCTGGTCACGACCTCGGCCGCCTCGACGCCGCCCGGCTTCCCGGCCGGCACGACGGTGACCCTCATCCCGGTCATCGTCCCTGTCCCGGTCCTCGCCACCGACGCCCCCGCTCACCACCCCCGCGCCTCCGGCAAGAAGCAGCGCGAGGTCACCTTCGACGAGACCAAGCTCTGACGCACGCTCCCGGTCCCTGGACCCGGCTCAATGTGCATTCCTTAGAATCGAACGTTTTGTCGAGAGGTTTTTCTGTTCGAAAATTCAAAATGTTTGTTCTGCCGTGCTGAGGAAAAACGCCACATGAACCTTCAGGCGTTGCTAAATTTCCTTTGATAAAACGAGAATTTCCTTGTAAACTTGTGAAGATTTTCCTTCCATTTTTTCAGATAATTTTTGGTCGCAATTTCACCTTAGAGTCCCTTTACACTGAGAGTCAAGACAATGTGAATACATTTCTGATTGGTTCCCGTATTTTAGGCCTCCTCAGTGTCACAAACGGGAATGAAGATTACATTTTCACCGATTGCAAAGATTATAATCTAGAATGGACTGGGGAGTAACGAGCTCGACAAGTACTTAACAAACGGGATGAGAGAAGGAACGGAGAAAGGAACTTGAGAATGAGCCGATCAAAGATTACCTACGAAAAACTGTCAATTTGTGTATACGCGAGAAAAGAGGGAGGGGGGGTTGTCTCGACTCTCAGTATAAAGGGACTTTATTTCACCTAAAGGTCCTGAAAAACTCAAGGAAAATATTCATTACTTTCCTTATAAATGAACATTTTATCGAAGGAAATTTGGCAACTCTCGAATGTTCATACGCAATTCTTCCTTATCACGGCAGTGCTGTCGGGGTAACGAAGTGATTAGAAAGAAAACGCTCTGATTGGAACCTTGTCCCTATCAGCCTGATTTTTGAAACCGTTCCTCTGAACACGCTGAGAAAAAAAGTTCGGTCATAAGATCCGAATGTACAGTGTTCAATATTGACCGTATTTTTCGGTTCGTGCAACCGCTCTCTTGGTTCTGGGAACCGTATACTGGGTTCATGCAACCGAGTTTTTTTGTTGGTTCTGTTCGGCATGGGTGCTCGGTTGCATGAACCGAGGATATGGTTCCCGGAACCAAGAGAGTGGTTACTTGAACCGAACAATACGGTTGATATTAAATGCCGTACATTCGGCTCATATAACCGAAGATTTTTCAAAAGATTGATTTGTTAGCCATATGAATTGCTCAACGCGAAAGTATAGAAGGTCAGCAGTTGGATGACGGAGCCTTGAGAGTAAAAGCCATTACCATTGTCTGGATACCAGCGAAGGTTCACATTTGGCTCTGTTTTAGCATTTGATGGCCGTCCTGTTTAGCTGAGGCTAACCTTACTTTTTCTTATACTCGGTACCTAATTATACTTCGTATCCATTCATCATAATATGTTTATCAACGACAAAAGAGCTCTACAACAATGGCAAAACGCACACTATGGTTCTAACAGGCAATTTAGTTTATTTTGGATTAAACAAAAAATTTGGATGCTTTATGTAGGGAGCAAGATTCAAATCAGAAAGTTTTCTTTCTCGTAACTTTGTTTCGTGTGCGAAACAATTTAGAAAAGGGGCCTTATCTTGCTGTCGTTGATTTAAAATAATGCAAAATGGTACGCTTTTAGAGTTCTGAATGGCGATATTTTAACTGACGTGGGTGCACTGGATTTGTCTTTTTTCGGGGGGGGGGGTGTTTTTTATGGCATTGTATTTTTTAATTTTTTGTGATCTCTGTAATATTGATAATTTTAGCTCTAAGTATGCACTTTACACATCACACTGCTTCTGCTTAAAGTTTACTTACGTCAAAAAACGTTTATCCAGCTCAACGTTTTTTTAAAACGAGGTTTTTTTCACTCGGACCTTTCCAGCTGCTCAAATTGATAGTTTTCATTCAAACCACATGGGCTACTTACGTGAATAGTTCTCGCAGTTTTGTACGATGATGATGATCTCCTTATTCATTTTTCTCGAGAGGTAATTTAAGGTTCCTTTTCTTACATCTTCTTCATATTTTATCATCAAACTCAGGATCTCAATAAAATTTAAAATATTTTTAAGGGTTAAGCTTAAATTTACATGAATGGCATGTATGGTCACGATAGTTTCATTGCAACTCTCTGTCTTCCCGGAAGCAATTTCCTTGTCGGCAGTTTCTCGGGGCCTGAGGTCATGAGGTCAAGTTTGCAACATACCAGTGGCGATTCTTGTACGTTAGTATAACACTGTTAATTCTCCATTTTTTTCTAGTGCAGTAATGAGTCAGGAATAGTACCTCCTAATTGAATCAGTGAGAACGAAAACACACCAACTCGGTATCACGAGAATGCTTAAGTTTCATCAAAGACAGTCAATTTTCAAGAAGGTCATTGATGTTAGCGCATCTGTTCCAACTTGGACCTTTGAAGTACCCTTGACTACTTCTGTTTCGGAACCAATAATCTTTGCCTTTGACAAACTCCTTCATTTATTGTGCAGTTTTTTGTGTGTCGATTGTTTTCATTTTTTCGAGTTGGTGTGTTTTCGTTCTCACTGATTCGATGATTCGATTGCAGAATGAAGTCAATTTAACGAAGCGCACTATGTGATTGCACACATGTGCGTATCAGGTCTGAATCCTTGGATGAGAAACTCGACAACGACAACGTCTAATTTTGTCCCAAAAAAATGAGCGCTATATTGTGAACGACAGCCTGAGAATATAAAAGCGGCACTCCTACTACTAGCTGAGCACCATACCGTCACCTTTGGAATAAGGACGTTACAACATTTGGCGATGACCCCTGTCGTCCATACTACTCAATGATTTTCCTGGCTCATCTCTATATGTAGCTACGCCTTTGTGTCAGCCAAGCGACGATATGAAAACGAGAGGGACGAAAAAATGGAAAAACTCCGGTCGCCTTGGAAAACGCTCCAATAAAATGAAGAAGTGTATGGGTTATCGATGCGACAGCTTGTAAGGCCGCGGCCAGCGACCCAATTGTCACCGAGTGGAATTACCCCCTAGCCCCATCACGCACGATCCGTATTTCTCCCGCGAAAGAACGTAACTCCATTTCAATGTTGCCAAATTTCCTCGCACAAATTGCACTTTAACTAGGATAATTTAGGGAACTTCTAATAGAAAATTACCTGATTGTCACAGTGAAATTACCCCCAACTCCATCACGCACGATTCGTCGTTTCTCCCGCGAAAGAACGTAACTTCATTTCAATGTTGCCAAATTTCCTTGCACAGATTGCACTTTTACTAGGAGAATTTTGGGAACTTCTGATCGAAATTTACCGAATTATCTCCGAGTGGATCTGCCCCCTAGCTCCATAAAGCACGATTCGTCATTTCTCCCGCGAAATAACTTCACTCCATTTCAATGTTGCCAAATTTCCTCGCGCAAATATCACTTCAACTAGGAGCATTTGGGAACTTCTAATTGAAAAGTTCACAGATTTTTCCTCTGATCTCACACAAAAATCAGACAAATCAACAAAAATTGCGCAGGTACATTTTTGCATAAATTGAATTTTTGATTAGATTTTACAACCTTGGAATGGAGTTACGTTCCTTCACCTGGAAACGACGGATTGTCAAATTCGACGGCGAGCCTTAATCATACCTCGCAGGGGGCGCGCGCAGAGTCGATTCGGTTCAGTGACTCGGCAACCCGCTCTGACAGGCTCATTAAAAACGACGTATGACCATCCGAACGTCGCCAAATATCCTCTGATGAATAATTGGCTTTTGAAAATAATTCCCTTTACATTGAGACAGTACTTGCAGAAATGACAATAAGCTTTGCAGTGCTCCTAAGATCGTGAAATTTCGTATATATTGTGGCTTTTTTGACGTAAAGGCGTATCTCGATTTCCGTATGAGCCCCAAAGAGCATGGATTTATATGTAAAATAGGGCTCGCATGGAACTTGAGTTACGACCTAACGTCAGAGTGACGACGATCCGTTGTTGCAGGCAATTGGTAATCGTCGCCCATTTGCATTTTTTCGTGATACTCTACGCTTTGTCGCGCAGTTAGTTTAGTTGATCTAAACCTACAGGGTGTCTCACGAAAAACGAGCCACCTTGAATATCTGCCGAACGCGTCGGAATTTCGAAAAACGGTAAAAGACGTGTTCGTTTATATCGAGGGGGACACCTTTTGGCGTATTCGACATTTTCCCAAACCGCGGGAGGGGCGCGGGGCGGGGGGTGCCCCACCCGTAAGTCGAACTTTTCAAATGGCACCCCTACTTTTTTATTTCAGAAATCAATGGGCCTGTTGCAAACTTTTGCTAGAGCAGAATGAAGAGTTGTTTCCTATAGATAATGCCTCAAAAATCACGATGAGCGCATCGGCAAAGTCTGAAATGCACTCATAACTTCACAATCTGCGTAAGAAATTTGCGTTATTTTGAGCTTCCCGCTTCAAAAACGATACTACTGCACAGGTGAACATTTTGTTAGAGGAGTCGCTCCATCGTCGGCAATATTCATCATGGCCGACGCTTGCGCAGTTCCTCGCGTAATTCGAGGAGAGTTCAAGGTCAATTAAGGCGGGCGAGGAAAATATGAACGTAAACACGCCGATTGTTATATGGTTTAATCCTGTTCAAGTGTTATCTCGTCCCATCACACGTGTTTTGGCGGACTGGCGTCGGCCATGATGAGTATTGTCGCCAATGGAACGACTCCTCTAACAAAATGTTCACCTGTACCGTAGTATCGTTTTCGAAGCGGGAAGCTCAAAAAACCGCAAATTTCTTACGCAGACTGTGAAGTTATGAGTGCATTTCAGACTTTGCCGATGCGCTCATCGTGATTTTTGAGGCATTATCTGTAGGAAACAACTCTTAGTTTTGCTCTAGCAAAAGTTTGCAACAGGCCCATTCTACGCAAAAAAACAAGCCACCCTGTCCAAACCGAATGTAAATCGGACAATTTTTCAGTGATTGACAGAGTTTGAAACATTTTTTTCATGCTCTTTTCAAAAATTTCCCACGCCCGATGGAATTGCTGTATCAAACCAAACTCTCCGCCAAAAAAATTCTTAAACATTGCACTTTCGATAAAAAAATAAAAGAAATCTGCTGCACTCGAAATCTGGAGCACGCGGAGCCCTTCTTTTGCGACATTAAAATTCGTTATACCGAACATTTCCGAGGGGCGCTCATCGGGAGGGAGTAGTAAGTTTTAGACAAGAAT